CACACACACACAAACCTAAGAATAGACTAGCAGAGGCTAAAATTGCCAAATACTTAAAGAGAGCTACTAAAGGTAGACAAAAACAAAAAAAAAGCATATAAAAAAAAAACTAAGACTGTAGACTGGTTACTAAAATGAAAATGATGATATTCTTATGTTATCCTTTTTAGCTTTAGAGTAGAAAAAGGAAAACCTCCAAGGAAAACAGAGATGAAAGGAACAAGAACGTAGAATTAATTTAACAGACACATATGTAAACATATACTCTTATATGTAATTTTAAGTAAACATAAAAAAATATGATTCCATAAGGAATCACATTTAAAACCTCAGTGCCAGAAAACAGGAAACCTCCTTTCAAGTTATTGGTCAAAAGAGTCCAAAAGACTCTTAAAATAAAATATGCTATTGCTGTTGCCCTAAATTGCCTCCCAGAAACTGAAGGCCAATCCCTATTGCTGAAGATATCACATACTTCAGATACAGGACGACGTAATGACTGGCGGGAGAGAGAGAATCAGCCTTCCCTCTGATGAACATCTTAATTGGTTACTCAACAATCTGAACACATGCACAACATCAAATTGACTGAGCATGTTATATTTACGCATTTATATGTACAAACATATGAGTATATACATACATATATATACATATAAGCATATAAGGTTATTCATTTAAAGAATAGTGAGGAGACTCGGGAGGATGAGAGAGAAAGGAAGTAATTTAAATATAGTACTCCTATATGAAATTTTAAATGAAAATAAGTTAAGATTCATAAAGCATCTTCAAACTTCCCATCTTCTGACTTCAGAGCATGGTAAGCTCTACACCATGAACATGAAGCATTGACGCTTTAGGCATCCTCAGTCTCACCGCCATAAAGGCCGCATAGTAAGTGGTGTGGTACCCAGCAAACTCACCAGGAATCTACTTCAAAAGCTAATGGGTACCAGAGCTTTCTTGATAAAAATCACTTAAACCCAAGAAATAGCTAAGGAAAAACAAGCTTTTGAGGATCAGAGGCCAAGACAAAAATGTCTCATCAACAAACATGTGCTCGTCTTTAGTCTTCCAAGTCACTGTATTCCTTTTCAGAGAATAAAAGAGAAGTTAAATGTTGGCTTTCCTTACAGGAGCTGATAGTAAAAGTGTCTGGAAAGTCACTGCTTTTGTAATACAGACTCTCTATACTGTTAATATTTAACATTCAAATAACTTGAGTACTATAAAACTCTAGTTAGTTAAAACTGGCATTCCAAAATCGCCAACCCCACCTCAAAAAAAAAAAAAAAAAGAAAAAAGAAGGAAGATCCACTTAGCATGTTTTATATTTCCCAGTTACAAACAAATTTGAAATATTTTAAAACAGATTTTCTATTCAATTTCCAGTCTAGTGATGACTGGCAGCTGTGGTGTCCACTCTGCCAAATCTGACCCCACCCTCATCCCTAAGGAACAGCTACCATGTTAGCCATAAAGAATTAAGGCAGTTTGACCCTGTGATGAGCTTCACAAGTGTGACCCATCACCACCAACTATTGCCTCTGCAATGTATTTAAAGCACCATGATCTTATGAACCACCCTGCAATGAAGAAAGCTTCTCAGAGGTCATCCTAACCCATTCTCATGTACCAAAACATCAGCAATGCAATGTCTCCTCAACAAGCAGCTGTACTCATCGTTCGGCCGCTCAGAAATTAAAAGATTAGATGACTAGACTGTAACGTTACTGTCTTAAAGAACCAAGAAGAAAGAATGAATAGAATCTAAGACAACCCCTAGCTATTGTATCACTACTCAATTCTTCAATTCACTTATAAACCTATATCTACAGCCAAGTCTGTCACTTTAAAGATACTAAACATAAGCCAGGTGATGGTGGCACCTTTAATCTCTATACTCTGGAGGCAAAGCCAGGCACATCTCTTGAGTTCTGAGAGGCCAGACTAGTCTACAAAGTAAGTTCCAGGACAACCAGGGCTTTGCAGAGAAATCTTGTCTTAAAAAAAAAAAAAAAAAAAAAAAAAGATCCTAAACTTAGGAACTGTTCAATACTATCCCTCTTAACTTGATTGTAAGGCTACAGAATTCAGCTCTTCACTTGGATGCTAGAAGACTCACCTTATCCATTAGAAAAAATAGCAGAAGAAATATCTAAAAATGCGTGAAAGATGAGGAAGGAGAAAGGAAGTGAATGATGAACATCCATAGAAAAATAAGAGTGTGGAAATATCTAACTAAAAAAAGACAATGAAGGAATACAATATAAGAATGTCATAACAGTCAGAGTACCCTCTATTGGTGAGATAATAGGTCCTTTTGGACCAGAAATAAATTCCACAGCTGGATAAAGAGTGCCTCCCTTGACAAGACACAAATTACAGAGCTTCTTAAACCAATATAATCCAGGACAGAAACAACAACAAGCTGTCCATTCCTTTTCTTTAGATCAACTCAAATAAGATAAAAAGATATTGTAATATTATCATTTATCTTACTTTACTTAAAAGTTATTTGTTTTAATTTTCACTTTGAATTTTACTTTTGTCAAAAATTCCAAGATACTAGCAGGTAGACATATGTAACACATCCCATACATTTGGAATCTGCCATTAAAAAAAAAAGTCTACTTACTATCAATAGAAATTATAATAGCTCCAAATCAAATTCCTTCAACACAAAATATTCTTTTATACTTGATGATGAGGACTTAGCCCACTGGCCTAGGTGGATATTTTCACATGGCAAATAACACTCAGTAAACATTTTTAGAGTTAGAATAAACCTAATCTAATCAAATTTCCTTTTTTCTCTCTCCAAAAGCCTTAGAATTTTAAAGTTGTGACAAATAGAGGATATTTTATCAGCTCTTCATATTAGACATGAGAAAAATCTTTCTATTTCCTATGGACAGACCAGAGGTTCTTTTCATATGCTTTCCTGTCTTACAGGTAAGCATTTAAGCCTCAACATCCAACTTCCTAGTCTATCTGTAGGCATTTTGCAATTCACAGAAGTTTGGTCTTGACGTGGACATGAACTATATACTTAGCCAGAAATCCATGCTACTGAATTCTATCAATTCCTTTCTACAATGCCTCTGAAAACTGAAACTGATCAAAAGAGCCCCAAAACAAGAATGCAGTAGTATTCTAATGTCCAAAATTAGACTATATTTACCTACAATTGGGCCTTGATAAGCAGCTTTTACTGCCAGTCCTCCCAGAGGTGAATTTAGTAGTTTCTGGGAGAATGTGACTATTCCATTAGGTTCTAGATAAAAGAACATACATATATAGTGTAGAAAAAAACTAATACTATATCCATCCCTAATACTATATACATATACATATACATATACATATACATATACATATACATATACATATACATATATATATACCTAATACTATCTCCATCTGAAATTTTCTAAATAGAACATGACAGGAAAACAGTTTCAGAGAAAAAAACAAATATAAACCTAGGAAACATAGATATGTTTTGCTTTTGCTTCCTATTGTTAACAAATCAGACTGAGGCATATAAACACAATATTTGTAAAGCAAAGAATATGAATTTAATTTGCAGGACCTAACTAGACTCTGCACCCCTCCTCATCTGACAAGGAATTCTAAGTTCCCCTGAAATTGACCCAAGCACTTTGGTGATGCTCTGTACTTCATGTAAGTTAAGGGACGGTATTGCTAAGAAGCATGGATATAGAACTCAGACCTATGAGGTAAGATAGTCATATATGCATATGCTCAAGCCCTGGTTAGATGTAAAGGAACCAAGAGAAGACAAGCAAAAGAGGGAATCAGAATCCTTGCAGCTAGAGTTGCTATGAGGCCCTGGTATGGTACTGAGATCCAAACCTGTATACTCTGCAAGAGTGGCTCAAGCTCTTGACTCCTGAGCTCTCTCTCCAGCCCCTGATTCATAACCCTTTATCTATCTGAAACTGTCCCTTAGTTCTAGGTTTCACATTTGTTAAGTGCTAACTTAACAGGGATTTAACTTCAGGGAACTCAAGACTGCACACTTAGGAAAAATAAAAGCTATAGTAAAATTTTCAAACTGCTACAGGCCCCCTTATCCTTCCAACAAGCAAGGGAAACATCCACATACAGAGTAGATAAGAGGTCTGAACTCTGCTCAGTTCATAGATACCTCACGGAATGAATTTCTTACTCCATTAAGTGAGATTTTCATGCTTAAAAATCACTATTTTTCATACATGAGGACTCCTGACTTAATTAAACTCTTCCAACTGGAATGCTACAAAAAAAAAAAATCCAACCTTTCTATTGTGAGAAACATTGGTTATACAGAGCCTGCTGAGATAGCTAATCTTGATTCTTAGATGACACATACCACCTTCTTGCATGTGACCTTCATTGTATGAACAAACTCTAGAATCTAACATGCATATAAACAAACTCTATACACTCTATTGCATAACAGAACTGTTCCCAAGGCAAAATACCACCTCAAAGTTGTTACTTACTTTACAAGTCAGAATATAGATCTGTTTTGTCCAAGAAAGAAACTATGATTTACAGAAAACTGTGAAAACATCAGATGCCTTTTCCCTAATGTAACAGCAAGCCTTGAACTTGGAAGTAAATATGAGCTCTTGATTTTTGATATCATATCTGCGTCATACTTCTGTAAGCAGACGTTCACCCCTAACGTCTCTTCCACTATAAAGAAAGTAGCTATCTATTACAACATCCTGGAAAAGTTAGGCCAGGAACTCAAGAATATTGCTCTCCCAGCTTTGGCTTCAGGTACAACCTTCTGCACAGACCTGTTGCTAACTACTTATCAGTGCAGGACTACTTTAACCAGAGAGAAACTCTTAAGACAAGTCATGAATGCAAGAAACAGCCTAAAAACAAAAACTAAAGTGCCTTGTCCAAAGGCCGATCACCTGCATGAAAGTGAAGTGAGAAACTGACAGAAAAGCATTACACATTATTTTTGGACAAATGTTCAAATTAGCTCATGCAGTAGAATGAAAGTAGATAGCATATTTGTTTAGGAAAGATTAACTTAAATCAGTGGAAAAACCTATAAATCCTTTTAAGCTATAAACCAAGAGCATCCAATTACATGGGCTGGCGGGTAATCTGCGAAGGTCCAGCTGCTTTCTGCAGCCTCAGAACAAATGTCATCCCTCTTATTTAGCATTTGATTTTAGACTGGCAGAAGGGGTAGTGAACAAATTTTATTTATTTAAATTTGAAACAAATCTTTGCCTATTCTCAATTTTGTTTTACTATTCTGCTTTTTAGTCAAAGTATATGATTTCAAGTTCAGAGCACATCTAAAATATTCAATATGACATTAAGTTTATTATAAAGTTAATAAACTTACCGGAGAAGGAATGAAGGCTTCATGAAACTTCTTTGGATTGATTCTCAATACACCCTTTAAAACAAAACAAAAATCTATGAAAAATCTACCAGCTGGATATTTATGATTTTTCCTATGTATGTTATTCTGTAATAAAAAGTTCTTAAACAATTTGATTCAGAAAACAAGTTAGATGTATGAGAACTGGTTAAGGCTGGTGCAGGAAACACCAGGTTCCAACACTGACAGCTGAGACTGCTGCTCTGCTCTGAAGGGCACAGGCAGGAAGTAGCAGTACTTGGCATAGAGCAGGACATGACAACTACTCATCTTCACGTTGAAGGCTGTCTGGAGAGTATGCCTCCACACTAGCAGCCTATTTTGCTTTCTCAGTTCCATGAACTCTGTACAATGGCATGTTTCTGGGACCATTTTTCAAGCTAGTTTCTAACTGGATACTTAGTCCCAAGGAACTGGATGCACATGTTTTACTCTGGCTCCTTTGCAGAGCCAACTGAGTTAATAATTCAAAATGGTTCCTAACAGCTCTTAACGTAAATGTCAATGCTGACTCCACAGCTAGGCCACCCAGTCTGCCTTCAACTTTATATGACTCCAGCACCAAGTCAGGGTCCACTTCTATTTATGTACAGGGGTGCAGGTGGGGGCCATCCTCAATGGCTGCTCAGTGCTGTGGATCTTTTTCAGGCAGCCATAACCTCCCCCAGAGTCCAGCTGCACTCACAGGCCACAGGAACACGTGCAGGGAAGAAGCTGTTTTCCTTCCAACACAACTCAAAGGATAACTTGAGAAAGTGTTTAAAGAACATTTCCCAATAAGAGGGATGACTCAAAGGCACAGAATTCACAAGATAGGTAAAGGCATAAAATTAAATGGAAAATAATTTCTTTCACAGGTGTTTAAATTAAAATTTTCGATGCCATGATACACATCTTAATATACCAATTAGATTATCACAAATGATCACTCAGTCCCTTAGCCATTTGTATTGATATTTGATATTGATTATGGTCAAACCCGCAAACAGACCACATAGGGTACTGAATAATAGCTAAACTTAGCCCTTGATAAAGAACCTGTGGAATGCTAAGAGGTTACAGCTACAGCACACGTTCAGGCTAGCACAGTCCTAAGGGAAGCACAAAGGCATAGGAAAGGGGCGGGGCAGTAGAGGTGCTGCAGGAGCGGCACCCAGCACTTGCCTGTCCCCATCCTGCCATAACTCTGCTGGGTTACAGAAAGGGGTCAGGAGATATAGCTGACAAAGCTGCCCAGGCTTTCTTGGTTAAGAGTGCTTGAAGCAAATTCACTTTCTAAACCAACTGTTTCTTCCTAAAGGAAAGGGGAAACACTTATAATTTTTTTTCTAAATACTCATACATTCAACAGATACTTCCTGATCCCTAGCTTGATAGGCACTACATATAGTGAGGAGGCTACAACAGGGAGTAACAGACAGTCTTGAGGGGAAATGCTTCAGTAAATTTAAACAGTATTTTTAAGCATTTCATTTTCAGATTCCAGACATCCTTTTCTAAGTTTTTTAATTTTTTTAAATTCCTAGTCTTCTACCATCTCCCTTTTAGTTCAGCAAAGGGTTAGCCTCTTGGCTTGAGTGTGCCTTTAACTGCAGAATACTGACAGAAGCCAAAGCTGGACTCCCAGGAAAGACAGGACATTGTTCAGGTCTGCAACTAGGCTCAACATAAAATATATGAAAAGGACCAGAAAGGTCTTAACTTTTGATACTCTCTCCCAAACCTCCCAACAGATAAAAGTACAGTGGGTAGGGCAGAAGGCTTGCTTCAAATTATCATATGGAAATTTGACCCTAAGACCTAGATGTAAGGAACAGACGCCAGAGAGAACAGAGCACGTGTAGAAACAAGCAACTCCACCTGAGTCCTCAGCAGAGGAGAGCTGTCCCTAGAGCCTGACAGAAGAAGGCAACAGTACAGCCTGTCAAGAAACAGTCTGCCAGCTCACAGACTCCCCCAACAGAAGATCACTCTTACCCAGAGGAGGCCAAGGCCTGAGCTTCTGTCTTTCACTCAATCCCCTGTAGTTCTTCTTTTTCAAAAATTCAAAATTTTTTCCAGGCCTAAAGTTTAGCCAGTGAGGATCCTGTACTTCCCGTCCCATTCTGAATTCTTCTGTGACTTCTTACCAGATCAGAACCTAGCCCTGCCCTAAAGTCACTGCTTCTTTTGGGTGCTACCAAAGACAACATCTCAAGGATGGTGAAGACTATTTCCCAATAATGGATTTAAAATTAGTTTGTTCCTATATTCTTTCTCAAACACCCTTTTGAAGTTCATGTCCTAGCTCTTGCTAGACTTGGTACAGGTGCCTTCTAACTTACTGATTATAGGGTTAATTCACTAATGTTTTGACTCAAGTGTCACTGCCTTCCCTTCCAACTCGATTCCTACACACATGTAGGGACTTTGAATCCATATCAATAACCAAATCACTGAAGCTACCTTTGTCCCCACTCATCCCAGCTACCATGTCCACTGCCTAGACCCTGCCATCACGTCACTTCCAAACACAGAAAGTCCTGCAGCACTCTTTCTAATTGGAGTTTGCTACACTTCCATCCCATATACCATGGGAATTCCAATAATACTTCAGTGTCACTAAGACCTCCATGTCACAGCCCAGAAATTTACCAATGACTGTCCTTCAACTATGATTACCCCCTTCCTTGGGCAGCTAGTGGTTTTTGCCTGCCATTATCTCTTAGCTTCAGAAACTTTGAGCCCTAGGTCCCCAATTACTCCTACCCACAATCAATAAGGCCTACCTCTCAAGTGACCCCCAACTATCTGTCTTCTCCTTGCCTAAACCCAAGGACCAGAATGGCACTGCACAAAAATAAGACACAAATGGTCTAATTAATCTAACTTGGCAAACACAAATACATTTTAGCTGGCTTACAGTATGTTTGAAAAGACTTAAAACTAAGGAATTTCACACATAAAAATATGTTTCCAGATTTTCTTGAAAAATAAACTTAAGATGTACAACTGCAGACAGCTATCTCCACAGGGCAGCAACCACCTCAGTTGAATTACAGATGTGCCTGACAGTAATTAAAAACAATCTCAAACACCACCCATATGTGTAGAATATGAGTTATGCACTTTTAAGGGCTAATGATCTAATTTAAATTAAATTAGCTAATTTAACTTAGCTACTACTGTTTTCTTCTTTTGCTATAGATAAAGTGACTAAGGCATTGAGAAGATAAGGCAAGGGTGTGTCTATGTCCTTAGCAAAAATGGTAAATGCTGTGACCTTCAAAACACCCCTGAAGGCTATAGGAAAGAACTCTGAAAAACATGAGTTTGAAACTATAATTTTTCAACTATGCAAAGATATAAGAACACACTATGAATAATATAAGGGGATTCACAGAACTCAAAAACAAACAAAAAAACAAAAAAAACAAAACCAGAGGTGGCTGCACTATAACCAAGCTTGTCAGTAAGATACAAAGGCAGGCAAGTTCCTGATTTCAAGGTCAGTTAGGAACAGAACAAATTTAGGTACAGGATGAGATCCCATCCAGCTAAGTTTATTGTTTGTGCTTACAAAGACAGGCAGATCTCTGAATTCCTCTACAATGTTAAAAAAGGGTGTATTTGCTGTCTTCTTCTAAGAATCTAAGGGGAAGGTCATGGAATGCGGATTCCTGGGATAATCAAAAGGGCACCAAGAGTAAATGACTGAATTGATTTGTAAATAACACAAGTTGTTAGCTTGTATCCCAAGATTGACTTTGAGTCATTTTTTCCTGCCACTCTCAAACACCCCTTCTCTCAGAAACCCCTCTCTAAGCTGAGGCTGGTCCTTGGCAAAATCGAAGTTTCTAATATAGTCTAAGTCCCTAACGGACTTGGCTATTGCCTAAGTTTTGTTCCATTATGTCTCAAAGGCTGCTTCCTGTTAATCCTCAAAAATATCAAGTCTTCTCCTTGCTGTTCTTCTGCTTGCTCTTTCCCTATAATCTTTTCCAAAGCTGGGAATGGCTGCTCACTTTTGCCCTTCAGATCTCATCTACAGGATGATCTCACAGAGACTTCCCTAACCACAACATGTGCAGTGGTTTCTTCTATCCTCTCTTTCTCTCTGAACAATGATCCAGCCTACAATTGCTTTCATTATTACAGTTATTTTTGCATACCACCCCAGTGACTTTTCTAGTGCTCATTCCCAAATGCTTAACATTCACGAGGCTGTCAAGAAATGTTTCTTCAATTCATTAGCTACCTAATATCTACAGAGTTAATGTTATCCCTTTGTCCCTGATATTGTAACTCTGAATGCCACCTCTCTTTTTAGGCATCCCATCATAATGTCACCTCTACTGTTCTGTTCTTAATATTCACCTAAGCTGACCTCAATCTTTTTTTTCCTTTATGTGTATGAGTGTTCTGCCTGTATTTCTGTGCATGATGTGCATGCAGCGCTTTCAGAAGCCAAAAGAGAGCAGATACTCTGGGACTGCAGTTACAGACTATTGTGAACTGCTATATGTGTGCTAGGAACTGAACCTGGGTCCTCTCTGGAAGAGTAGCCAGTGTTCCTAACCATTGAGCCAAATCTCTAGACCCCTGACCTCAATTTTAACAAAGAGCAAAATTCCTAGAAATGATGAGACCATCATGCCCTCTGTCCTAGAATAGGCTTTTTCAGAGGTCAAAAACAACATCTCACCAATACTCTATTCCAGCAGGAATTCTGACACCATGCCTCCAGCAGCTCTGAGGGCTCATTTTGGACTTCTAGTAGTCAATGCATAATCTGGATTCTGAAAGAGCCAATTCTACCAACTCTTTGCCCATGTCACTTAGTTATCCCCTTAAACTGGACCTCCCTCCAGGCTCTCATCTCACAGCACATCCTGTAACAGCCAACCATAGGGCTCCTATGATATGCACAGAGTAATGCCACTCTGACGTGAGAACTTGGTTATAAAGAAAACTACATGTACTGAATTATAGGTTATTACTATCCATTTACAAATACTACATGTACTGAATTATAGGTTATTGCTGTTCATTTACAAATACAGAAAAGAGGTTTCTTTGGTCACTGTGATCTCCTCTTTCCTATAAAACAATGAAATCTCAAACTTTTGTCAAGACATTGACTAATACTGTATTATTCCACTAATAGTTAAGATACCTAATATCTCTCAATACAAGACTTTTCTCTTTATGAGGAAGAGGGAGGCTATGGCATACTTATATCTGAATACAAAAGTTGACAGACGTTTCTAAGTATATTTGATACGTTTAATTTTCTTCAGTGGCATTAAAATATCACTTGTTGTCTAGCGTTTTACCTTACCCAGACAGCTACACACAGAAAGTTTTTATCCAAAAGCAGATGTACTCTGTTTCTCTGCCTATGAAAATCTTATTTACAATGTTGTATATTCTCATGGTGACCTCATATCTGGAACCCGTTCCTCACTCCATCTGCACAGAACAACTGTTCTCACATGTGGGGGGGTAGAGGGGGAGACAGCCTCTGGCTGTGGAGGCTTATGATGTCATAGGCCAGGAGGAATCACTTACAAACTTCTGGGAATGTGAGCTGTTATATTGATCAGATCTTTTGTTTTTTGTTAATGCCAGCAAAAAGTCACTTCAAATGCAAAAATTAAAAGAAAGCAAAAACTAATACTATTGCAGAATACCACTCCAACCCTATCTCGTAAAGGTGTTCTTCTATAACAAAGCTGGTTTTCTCTCAGAACTCTTCTTCAAAAGGCAGTATCTAGATCTTTACTCAGACAGCAAAAGAAATACTTATTCAGCATAAGCTTAGTAAGCACTGGCCACGCCCCAGGGCTGGACTACCATGTACAGTATGCATGGCCCTGCAGTAAGGAAATGAAAAATCTATTTGGAGACATAAAAGCCAAACAAAGGTAAGAATTTAACATGTAGACAACAAAGCTGACTTCTCGAGGGCAGGAACACCCAACTGAGCTTAGAAAATGTGAGGGTGACATCTAAGTACAGATTGCTCAGGGACTGGCAGGGCAAGCATGACTGCCACACGTTGATGGGAAGAAACAACTCAAGCTCCAGGACAGCAAGAGCAGTTTCATTTTGGGTTGTTGTTGTTGGTGGTGGTGGTGGTGGTGGTGGTTGTTGTTGTTGTTGTTGCTGTTGCTGCTTGCTGCTGCTGGTAGTGGTTGCGGTTTTGATTTTGATCTTATGAGACAAGGTCTCACTATAAAACTTACTATATAAATCAGGCTAGCCTCAAAAATCACCAAAATCTACCTGCTTCTCCCTCCCAAGTACTGGGACTATCAGCACAAGCTACCACACCAACCAAGCACAGATTTTAGAGGAAAAACCTGGAAGTTCAAGATAATCAGAACATAGGACATTCCTGGAAAGGGGTGGCAGGAGACAACAATGAGAAAGGCACATCAAAACCTCACACAGGAACAAGGAGGGCCGAGACACCTGCAGGTAAAGCAAAGTATATGGATGGATGCCAACCATGAGATGCGAGCAAATACAGTTTCTATTCTCTTAGGAGAGACTTGTCAGAGACACCCAGAAAAAATAAAACCAATGGTATTCCTAAATCAAAAGGACCAACTGATTTGTGAAAAATGAGTGATGTGCTCTAGGGTCTACATCAATTATACATACCATGCACTTGGGTAATTATAGAAAGATGATATAACCAGAGAGGCTGCTATCTGTTGTTTGGATGAGTCTTCCACCCAAAACATAACTAAGTCTGAGTTTTCAGAATGAGAGAAGATGGGACTCAGTCAGCATTGCATATATTAACATACTTGTGTTTATACGTGTGTAGAGACATGTGTAGACATGGGTGTAAAGAGGCCAGCAGTCAACACAGATTGTTTTCCTCAATAACTCTCCATCTGGCTTTTCAAGACAGAATCTTTCAGTAAACTCAGAGCCAGGCAGGTAGCTAGCAAGCCCCAGGAAATCTCTCTCTGCTTCCTCACGCCATTCCGCCCAGCCTTTATGTGAGTGCTAGTGATCCAGTTTGGGTTCTCATGCTTGTGTGCTGAGCACTTTACTAAAAGCCCCAGCCCTCACTCAATAATGTTAATTGAGTCAGGTACAGCATGGTAGTATTTCTATCCAAGAATTAGGAAACACTCTTAATTCAAAGAAGGCATGTTCCTGCTTCCTTCTCTTGCCTTGTTACCTAATAGCTGCCTTGGATGTCACACCAGAGCAAACCGAAGCTGCCTTATCCCATACCATTTCACAAGTTCACCCTGCAGCACTATCCTAACATGAAGTATTCCTGGCTCAAAGATGGATGTTCAAAGAACACCTGTTCAGCCACACCAATGAATAGCCTGGGAACAGATTATGCAAATTACAAAGCATTCAATAAATACTGTTTACTGTTTCCTCTACAACTTTACCGTTTTTCCCAGTCATTCAGTATTCATGTGCTTCAAGCACACTGAACAATTCAATGACTGGCATAGTCTAACCCCACTGTCTACTCTGTCCTAACAGCTCATACTGGCTACTTCACTTGGAGAGCTCATTTCCTTATGCTTATGTGCTCAACTGCACCAATCTCCAGCCTGGCTCATATAGCTCTCTCCCAATAGAACATTCCTAGGCAACAGTGACATGGGCTACAAAGGCTCTCTCTTCTCATCTCTCAAAGGTGTGCCTAAGAGAGTCTAGTGGTACTTACCACCTACACATGCTATAGATCTAAGAAGCACAAACCTGGCACCATGTCAGAGCACACAGCACAGAACAGGGAAAAGTTTAATAAACAAGACTGCTCCCGTTCCATATATTCAGGGGTTAAATAGCCTGTAATCTTTAAGCACCTGGATAAGCGTTCCTCTCTTCAAGCCTTCTGAAACATCCTTCTTGGACATGTAGGTTTCAAATATGCTCTTTTTCTTCCCTCGCATGGACTTGTTCTTTGACTTTTTGTCACCTGGCGAAGCACCAACAGCATTCGGGCCAACCACAGAGGACACACCTAGAAACATGAGGCAGCAATCAACCCTCCCTCAGTTACACATCTCTGTTTTTTTAACTGGAGGTGTTATGATGTCACTGTCCTTTGTTGTTGCTCTTGTTGCCTCCAAAGGCCAGCAAGAGAATGAATGAACCTTTCCAGTGATGATTTCAAACAGCCACGAAAAGGAAAGAGCATGTAAGACAGCATAAATGAAGCAGGCGAGGCCTAAGTGACCAATGCAGCATGCATGGAGCAACAGCTGAACAATAGGCCTGGGAAACTATGCCATCTCAGATACAAACCTTTAAAAATAGGAATTATTAAAAGGTTGTCACATTTCTAGAGGAAATAAAATGGCTGTACAACAATCCAACTAAAACCACAAAAGCCTACCTAATTCTAGAATAAATAACATGGGAGAATATTTAACAGTTCATTAAAATAATTAGTCTCCCTCAGCCCAAAGAATTCCCTCCACCTCCACACCCAACCAATTTGTATTTCAAGTCTCCAGTTGCCAAAGCAAGCTTCGTTTTCTTTTCTATACCTTTGGGGGTCCCTGGAGACCGAAGATTCAGCTTGTAGTCAGGATGGTTCATTACTGGTTCCAAGGTGGCCTCGTCTCTTCAGATTCAGGGACCCACTACTATTCAGCTCAGAGTTCTTCCTGCCTTGAGCAGCTCAGTTGTCACGAGCTAAAATAAAAAAGAACTGATGACTAGAGAGCAGTTACCTGTGATTTCCTCTGTCCCCTTAGAAATTTAGTACTGAGACATGGCAAATGCAATGTGGTATTCTCCTGGATAGTTATACAATCTGTGATCCATTTCTATCCAAGGTCTACACACTCACAGATACACTCACTGCATTGTTCCTTTGGAGCACTTCAACTAAAAGTTTCCACTAATGAGGCAATGAAGTAAAAAATAAGAAAGTAGGCAATTCTGTATAGTGTGGAAGACTCTAAAAGCTATAATGGAGTAGGTTTGAAAGTCCAACAATATGTGACCCTACTGCTGGGCCCTGGCCACCACCTGGACAGTAAACACACCACCACAACTTGTACTTCTCATTCCACTGGCCACCAACATGGAGCTAAATCTATACTTACAAACTACCAAATCCTACTAGGCAATTATTTCTCAACAAAATGGATCAAGATGTCATTTTGAACCGTACCTTCTATTCCTCAAATTTCCCTCATACAAGCCTTACCAAATGATCAAAGTTTTCTTTAAACTAAAACTGTTATTAACTCAAAAAAGAGAACAACAAAGATAAAGGTTAACAGGCCACTTGGTGATACACAAAGTGATTGTAAGATAAAAGTTAATCCAAATACAGAGATATCCTCACTGAAATAGAAAAGGGATAGGAAAAGAAGAGGGGAATATGGGCTGCTTGAGGGTTAATGCAGACATGCATTCATTCTCTCATTATTTTAACAAATATGTACAATGCACAATAGCTAGCAAAATGAAAGAGAAAGGGACATTAGATTTAAAAAGTCATATGGTCATAATAATATACATCAGGAAGTGACAGCATCATGGTTTTCAAAGTGTAACTATATATGGGAAGAAAAGAGTTTGTCCAGGTCAGGAAATCTAAGAGAACCTTGGGAAAGTTTTTAAGAAAGAACTAAGACATTAAGAAGTGAGGAAAGCATACTTCTGGCAAAAGGAAACAAAAATCAGGATGCAAACAGAAAAACACAGGCAGATTCTTGCAACATTAATTCCATTTGGCTAGAGTCCTGCCTATATGAAGGAAGGCAGTGGCAAGGAAATTAAAACAAGTTGGAAGGTCTAGAAAACAAGCCGGGTTTTTCAAAAGCACTAGGGAGTTTCTGAAGCATGAATGAGCAGAGAGAACAATAGACCAAAGTTGTTTTAAGAAGAATCTTCTTGGCACAGAAGTCAGAACTGAATGAAATGGAGACTAGCACCTGCACCTTCTGGAAGAACAGATGAGTCAGGAAGGGCTAGGACTGGAGCTATACAAGTGGACACTGACAACAAAGTCCTCTGACATGGTCCTCTACAGCTTGGCTGACTCACCTGGCAACCAGGAAGGCCTAAAACAACCATGGAAACTGGGTAAGTTCCTAGTGATGGGGCTGGGAGTTATGATTGGCCTAATGCTAGAAAAAAACTTCTGTTTGAGGTACTACATGTTTGTGTGGAATAATCCAACAAATACTAGAAAAAGTGAAACGTAATATATAGTGAGACCTCACCTGGCTATTAGATAAAGATGCAAGACAACATGCTCAAGAATGGATAGCAAGGCTCCATCCACTGCAGCAGAGAAGGTAGTAAAATAAGGGATAATCAAGCATCAATATAGGCCATTTGGCCCTGAGCAAGGTCTGAGGAAGCACTCCTGATAAATCAGTTAGGGCAGCATTACAAATGCAAAAGGGGAAGAAGTAGAAAATATAATAGCAACAAAATAAATAAACAACAACAAAAGAAATATATTCAGCTCAGGGGGAGGTCCCAAGGCCTGACACTATTACTAGGCTACGGAGTCCTTACAAAAAGGGACCTATCATGACTGCTCTCCGAAAGACCCAACAAGCAGCTGAAAGAGTCAGATGCAGGTATTTGTACCCAACCAATGGACAGAAGCTGCTGACCCCTGTGGTTGAATTAAGGAAAGGCTGGAAGAAGCTGAGGAGGGTTTCCCTGTAGGAGGACCAGCAGTCTCAATTAACCTGGACCCCTAAGATCTCTCAAACACTGAACCACCAACTAGGCAGCATATACCAGCTGATATAAGGCCTCCAACACATATACAGCAGAGGACTGGCAGGTCTGGGTTCAGTCAGAGAAGATGCACCTAACCTTCAAGATACTGGAGGCCCCAGGGATTTTAGAGGTCTGGTTGGGTGGGGGTTGGGGTAGGGGTGGGGATATCCTCGTGGAGACAGAGGGGTGGGGAGGAGGTATGGGATGTGGAACAGTTGGAGGGTGGACAGGGACAGGGGAATAAAATCTGAAGTGTAAATAAATAAATAAATAATAAAAGGCAAAAAAAAGACATAGAAAAAGAGCTAATAAATAAGAAAACAAGGAAAGTTTCCAAAGAAAAATTCATGATCAGAACTGGTTCCCAATAGTGAGTCTGAGCACAACAGCAGCCTGGAGTGGAGTGAGAGGCTGCAGCAAACTGTTAATCAGTGTGGGCTCTGGTGTGGTTTGAATGTGAACGGCCCCCCACAGGCTCATATATTTGAATGCTTGGTCACCAGGGAGTAGAACTCTTTGATAGGATTAGAAGGATGAAGAAGTGTGGGCTCACTGGAAAAAGTGTGCAACTGGAGGTGGGCTTTGAGATTTCAAAAGCCCATACCAGGCCCAGGCCCAGGCTCAGTCTCTCTCTCAGTCTCTCTTAGTCTCTCTCAGTCTCTCTCAGTCTCTCTCTCTCTCTCTCTCTCTCTCTCTCTCTCTCTCTCTCTCTCTTTCTCTGCCTACTGATCAAGATGTAGCTCCAGCACCTGCCTGTAGGCATGGCCACCATGCTTCCTACCATGATTTTACTGACTTAAGCCACTGAAATTATAAGCAAGCCCCCATTTAAATGCTTTCTATTACAAGAGTTGCCATGGTCATGGTGTCTCCATACAGTGATAGAACATAAGACAGGTTCCTATATATCAATCGTGATGCAGTGAGGAATTCAAAATTAAACAGAGGTACTACCAGTTAAAGTGCATGAAATACAGAGACCCAATTCAAGTATCAACAGCATCTGTACTTTTTCTTGCTGCAGAAACTGGAGTCCTGTAATTTCTATCTCAGAAAAACAAAAATGTTTTGTTAGGTTCATCATTGCACCCCAGTGACTCCCATAGTGCCTATAAAGTGGGCCTGAGAAGCCCCATTTCTTACATAACCAGTTAAGTGAGTCTCAGTGAACAAACAGCAAAACAGCAAGTGGAGCAGGGTCATTCAGGGAAGCCACATTTTTTAAAGGTCATTAGGCAACAAAATTGGCAAGAATAAGCCAGACAACTAGAGTCAAAAACTCACCTATGAGTACCAAAGCACTAGAAAGCAGCAAGGAAAATCTGAGCATACATGTTGCTAAGGAAAAGATGACTAAACAGATGACTTTGCCTTCCTTGTCACATTGTTGTAACAGCTCATGAACCCTGGAGAAACCCGAGATACTACCCTGACAAACTAAAGGAACAGGACAATTCCCAGATGAGAAACAATGACTCACTGCCCAATACCTAGAAGGGGCCCTCACCATAGACGTTGCAGTCTAAGAGCTGGGCTAGGGCTAGGAGGAACAGGCAGTAACAGCCAACATGGCACATAGTATCAAAAGGCAGGCATGGCAAGGAATAGGGGAAAGACACTACTACACTTGATAAAGTAAATCTGAAGACAGCTCATGAGCACATGAAGTGATATTTTGAGACCCTCTAGCCTCTAAACCTAGCACAATGCACAAAGCACAACAGAGGCTCAAACCCCTGAATTAAATGCAGCCTATTGGAACAGTAGGCAAGTTACAACAGATACACACCGGTAGGAAGTACGGGAGGTGAGAGAGAGCCAAGGACAAAACAGGTTACCTAGGGCCAAAGCCTGAAAGTAAGACCCTCTCTCAAGTTCTCTTGGATTGTGGAGTGGTTTAGGAATAGATAGATATTCCATCCGTTACTTAGGAGAGGGTCCATTTTATTCCCTCAGAGTGACCACAGAACAGAAATAAAACAGAGGCATCCCTACAAACTTTGTGGAAATTAAAAGGATTATTAAAAATATAATAAATAACTAGGTATTAATTAGAAAACTTACATGAAGTAGAAATTACTGAAACTGAGTCAAGAAGAAATAGTAAATCTAGGTATATAAAAAAGAAACTGTGTTGATAATTTAAAATCTTCTACTTAAAAAAAAAAAGGAAAAAATGGCTTCATTGGCTTTCATTCTATCAAATACTGAAAGAAAAAAGTACCGATCTTTTGAACATTAAGAAATAATTTTGGCAGAGGAACGGAGGCAGAAGAAGGAAACTTAAGCTGTACAACAAGAAGCTTAATTATTTCAAAGAAAATGGTTCTTTGATTTTAATGTTAACCTTTTTTAAAATACAATACTGATAGTTAGAAAACTACTGTACTCTTTTGTTTTAGTGGAAAATAATAGACGTCTGTTCATGTGTTTAAGTGTTTTAGCAAAAAGTACACATACGGTTAAGTTAATGAAAACGTTTTCTTTCATCAGAGTGACAAAAGACAAAAGTACTTCCTGGAGATGGACTGTTGTAAGCTATGAAAAACAGCTTGCACCACTAAGAGAAAGATAACATAGAACCATTCAGAAAAATGAAATTTAGTAGTTTGAGGCTTCAAAGAAATGTCAACTTTTAATTCCATTCAATAAAGAACAAAACCAATTGTATTTTTTATTACTTTTCATCTGAAACATTCCACATTTTAATCTGAGCCTTGCAGGGTTTTCATTTGACTTTGGAAGCTGTTTCGGTTGCATTGCATTTTTAGAGAACTTCATTCATGTGAGATTGGCCATTCAAATGCAGGTGCAGTTTTCTTTTAATGTCATGCTGTTTAGATAATAAGAAATATTAAGTAATTGGCTTTAGATTTGTAATTTCTTCCTCCGAGTTCCTGCTAGGTTTTGTATTCTAGTAGTCAAAATGTTATTTCAGTGAA